CCTACAGTTATCGTCTGTGATTCCAAATTCCAGAGCTGCTACTGCCACAGCAATTAGAGTCTAGTCTTAGATTATTATTATTATTTTTTCTTTTTTTCAATTCATTTTCTGCCCTTTTCTTCTTTTTTCCGGAATTAAATTATTTGCGGTGTTCAACGAAGTGTATTGTAGAGAGTGGGATGGATAAGAGGGAGAGGATTAGCAGTGTTCATTGTGTATAAGTACCAAATCAAGAACTCACATTCTTTAGCATGAAGTATTTTCTTGATCTTGCTATATTTCTGAATGGAGTTTTGTATCGCGTTTATCGATCTCGATGCTCTTCGTTTCTTCTTCATATTGCTATATATATATATATATTCTTCAAACTCTACATTTATGATATGTAATCTCAATTTACAACGCTGTCGATCTTCAACAAATTGGGCCGTTTAAGTAGCTACTGCAACGAGCAAACCCTCGCAATACATACGTAAAAGGAAGAATTATAGCAATAGCAGAAAAAGAAAAAAAAAAAAAAAACAACACCAAAGATTCAATTGCTATTTTACACTCAAGGATGTATGTATATATATACATATATATACTCACAACTCAGTCTCAAAATAGTACAATTATGGAACCAATACATAACTGAATAAGCTGTTCCCGGTTTTAATTATTCGCACCATTATATACATCAAATAAAAACTTAATCCAAAGTCGGGCACAGAAAATGTGCCACCACTCACATTGTCTAACTCAAGAAACTCCATCGCACACGAGTTTTTCCCTATCTAAAAACAACGTAACATATATATATAATAAATAATCTACTCCCAATAAACACCAAAAACGCAACAACGTCACATTTTAATCTTACCCACAAACCAAATTATTTAAAAAAAGAGCAATCCAAAAAGCTGAGGGCGCGTTTTTTTTTTTTTCTTTTCGAAATTCTTTAGTACCAGTCTGACATCATCATGACATCATCCGAAGCGTATGACAATGCACGAAATATCATCTTTACTTTTTCTTGCCAAAGCCTCTGCGGTTAAACGCTTAGCCGCTGCTTGAGGGTCCTTTACGTGTTTTACCATATCCACTGCTTCTTGATTATTCATCACCTAAATTATTAATTAAAACAAATAAAATACATCGCGTACCGTTCAATTCGATTGCTGAGAAAGAAAAAAAAAAGGACGATCAAGAAAATAATAATAATAAAAAAAAAAAACAATTACCTTCCATAAACCATCACTTGCTAATATAACAAACTGCGTATTCGAGTCAATGCGTACGTTACATACATCAGGCTCCGAACTCAAATGTGCTTTAAGGTTTTCGTCTCCAAACGCACGTGCGACGGCGAGCTGGCCGTTTACACGAGGGACGTCTCCTGAAATAAGGAGTCTTTAGTTTTCATGGTATCGTATCAAAAAGAAATCACCACAATAAATGCTATTGCCTCGTTTGGTTACATAGATCGGATTAATTATGATACGATTGAATTGTAATTATTTCTTAATTCTTACCAACTAACTAACTAATTTGTTATTAAGATACTCAGTTCACTGTATCAGATTCTAGTATTATTAAAAATAGTTAAAATATATTAAATGCGACTTCTCAATAACATCTCTAACTAAACAATAACTATATCGTAATTTTTTTAAGTTTATGAATAAAATCGTCAATTCAACTTAATAGTGTCAACCGAACAAGACACGTGTCTAACCAAATTTATGCGAGAAAAATCTTTTGAAGAATAAATTAATTACCGGGAAGAGTGGTCACGAAACCACCCTGCTTCTCGATCCTCCGCCTCTCAACGTGTGGCTCGTGGTCAACGGAAAGCTGTTCTGGAACTCCGTTCCTGCAAATCACAGCCCTCGAATCTCCAATATTTGCCACCCATAAATCTTTTCCATCTATAACAATTGCAGTTACTGCAGTCGAGCCACCTGGCCCCAATTGCAGGGAGTTTTCTAGTATAAGTTTGTCGGTCGAACGGTAAGCGTTCTTTATAGCAGCCTTCGGATCCTCCCAAAAATTAGGCTGCACATATAATAAAACAAAAATTACGCAACGAAATAAAGAGGCGAGCAGATAACTATATAACTGTCACATGGCAAGAAATTAACAGGATAGATAAAAACAAGGCGCATTAAAAAAAAAAAAAAATTAACTCCGTTTTGAAACTGTTCCGATTATGGATGTGCGTATGACTACTATTAACATGTAACTCGACAAACTTTCTACAGCTATTCCATCTTCACATCTATCGAACCTCATTCGGGCATTTATTCGAACAGATCACATACACATCACATAAGTATTATTATCAACCAGTTTCTGAAAAAAACCATGAGTTCTAAGTTTCGATTCTATGCAAAAACAACATGGATACACAAAATAAAAAGCCGAAAACAAAAACCTCATCAAGTATGTTGTTGAAGAGGTTATCCTTTAAATAACTGGGTACGCGATCGCCTAAGTGGCCATCGAAAATGGCAAACAAACCGAGAACATGACCCTTCTTTTTTCGATACTCTGCGAAATGGTAATCCTCCATGTCATGACCTGATTTACCTTCAACCAAGTGGAATCCATGGCAGACCTTATTCGTATTCGACGAAGACTTATATTCACTCTTCCCTTTCCCACTATCCGGCGAAGATCCATCTATACAAGCAACTTTCTACAAACCCCACAAAATTAAATCAATTAAAATCAGTTGGTGCTGTAATTAATTAATTAATTAATTAACTAATTATCAATTTGAAATTTGATGCTACAGTTGACTAATTTTGTGATCAAAGGTTTTAGGGTTTCGAAGAAAAGTAGTTTGAGTACCTTGATCATGCCGAGAACGCTGAACCCTTGCTTCTTCTCCATCTCTCTCTGAACTTGAAAACTAGTAATTATTAATCATATAAAATTCAAATTACAAAAAAAAATTAGCTTACTAAATAAATCAAGAAAAAAGGAACAGTTTTTTTTTCTTGAACTAATTAATTTTTTTGGCGACGAAAATAAGTCGGAGGGCGGAAGTCTTTTTTGGTACGGCGGCTGAATATGAAATGGGGAAGATGATGGTTTTAGTCTGAGGACGGTATTTCAAGAAGATTCATGGAAATTTCTTGTTTGTTTCTCCCACGTATATTTCTTTTTTGTTTACTTGACACCAACAATAACTTTGTTTTTTTTTTCTTTTTTGGCATTTAATTAAGGGTGTATTATGAAAAAGCCCCCTGAAGTTTGGTTGAATTATGAAAAATACCTTCACCTATTCGTAATTATTAAAATTTCCCTGATGTTTGTTTTCCGTCTTGCACTGATCACCTTACGATGTGATTTTTTTTATAGATTTTTTTTTATTTTAGAGAATATTTTCCATAAAATACTGATTTTACCCTTACATAGAACATATTGAAAGTAACCATGTACATATGTTTAATAAATGACTATGTGCGCTATGGTGGTTCATATTAGTAATCCAGAAAGTGTAGTGACATAACAATGTGATGTTGCGGAAAATAAATGTATACCAAGGCCACCTACAGTTGAGAGACTGTTTTTAGAGGTAGAATCGGAATATTCCCTAAAGTAAAAACAATTCTGAGAAAAAATAGACCATAATAGGGTTGGTGTAAGTTGAAAACAAATATCGGGAAATTTTGGCAATTACAGATAGGTGGGTGCGTTTTTTTGTAATTCAACCTAAAATTCGAGGGATATTTTGTAATTTAAACTTAAATTAATTAATTTTTTTTTATTTACAAAATAAACTAAAATAAAATTGGTGGAGTTGTGATTAGGGGTGTAAACGAGCCGAGCTCGAGCCGAGCTCGCCTCTTTTGGCTGGCTCGAGCTCGAGCTCGAGTATATTTTGTCGAGCTCGAGCTCGAGCTCGAGCTCGCGAGCTCCTCTTTTTTTGGCTCGAGCTCGAGCTCGTGTCAGTTGTGTCGAGCTCGAGCTCGAGCTCGAGCTCGAGCCCATTGTCTTTTTTTTTTTTTTTTTTAAATATTTTTTTAATTATTATTTTATTATTAAAAATTATTTAAAAAAATAAAAAATAAAAACTAAATTGTAATTATATATATTTTTAATATTTGTATTTATTTCTATAATATTTTACATTATTATACATTATTTGAATGGAAATGACATATAGGAAATGAAAGGAAATAATAATAAATCCGGCTCGCGAGCTCATGAACAACTGAAAACCGGCTCGAGCTCGGCTCATCAGAAAGCTCGAGCTCGCGAGCTCGAGCTCGAGCTCGAAAATCTCGAGTTCGAGTTCGAGCTTTTTACGAGCCGGCTCTTCGAGCTCACGAGTCGGCTCGGCTCGTTTACACCCCTAGTTGTGATGTGGGGTGCAAAGAATTGATGAAAGTTGGTTGACGAATTCAAAGTCCAACCTTTCTAATGCGTGTTTCTCCATTTCTGACTGGTGTTATTTAATTCCCTTTGTAAAGTGGGCCTTACATTATATATTATTGAGATTTTAAATAATAATCCCCTTTTTTAAGGGTTAATTTCATTTTGGACCTCTATTTTTGTTTAGACTTTATATTATACTATGTTAAATGTTGGTTCGATTCCATTTTGACTTTGAACGTGATTTCAGTAATTCTCTAGTCTGGTTCTGACAAAATTCAAAACTCGAAAGCCGTAGTTCTTCGACATAGCTTTCAAATCCAACTTGAATCAACTAGATTGTAAATCGATTAACAAATTATGCATAAATGAGTCACATTTTGAATTTTCGATAATTCAAAACATCAAATATGCGGACAGATTCATGCATATCTTTATCATCTACACTGGCGGAACACGTAAGGGGCATGGGGGGGCCGTTGATCCCCCAATATTTTTTTTTTAGATATTTGGTACTAATTTTTTTGAATATTACTTTTGAAACCCCCAAAGTTTTTGTAAATATTTATCTTGACCCATTATTTTTTTTGTTTTTTCTCCAAAATCTTATATAAATTATAGATAAATAATCATATTTAATATAAAATATAAAATAAGATGGTTAAAACTTGTATTATTTTAAATAAAATTTATGAATATTACTTATTTTTGATTTTTTTTATCTAACGCCTTAAAAATAAAAGAAAGATGAGATCGTGCCATAAATTTCTGAAATATCAAGTGCTGCTATTATTAGAATAATTTGAATTAATTTATATTTTTTTGTGATGATTAATATATATATATATATATGATATATGATATTTTAATTAAAAATTAGTTATATAAACTTATCTTTTGCAATGTTTTGTGCACCTAAATTTTTTTTCGGGGCGCTGCTCAGAACCCCAAAATTTTAGTTAGCCCCCTACATTTTAATTCTGGTTCCGCCCTGATCATCCACCATCCAATATTGATAATTCAAATTGCATTAGAAAGTTAACTCAAATAACAATTGAATTTTGCTGAATTCAACCTCGAAAAATAATTAAAATCACGTTTCTAAGTCGAAACTATATTATGAAATCTGAAATAATGTTTAAATTATTTATTATTATTATTTTTTTTTTCTTGTAATTTTCTTTTTCTAAGTTTTACCGCTATCTTTTGTATTCTTCATTTGACTACTATAAAATAATGTTTGCCACGTGGACGGTCGATTCTGGACTTGGCGGAAGCAAAATCAACGACTAAGCGGAATTGCAGAATACAAGATAGCTTTTGATGAAAAATTAAATATTAAAATATATAATTTTTGGGTGTTTAATTCGTTTCGATCAATCAATCATCAACAAATACATAATTGAAGTCGGTAGTGAGGAAAGAGAGTGTTGCGCAGAGTGGTGAAATGGCGACGGAGCCGCCGATCTTCCAGGAATCCTCTCGCTGCGATGTCTGCAAATGCAGCTTCTCAACCTTCCGCCGCCGGGTAATTTTTTTGAATCCTGTTCTCAAAATTAAGCTCGAATTATTTTTTTTGCTGATTTTATACTACGTTTTTTTTTGGGTAAATTACTCGTTCGTGGATTTATTCTGATCCTTTTGTATTGATAGTGATCCTGGCTGATTTTGGGTGGTAATTGCATGGTATTAATGATTGACTTGATCTGGATGGTCTGGTCGATTTTGTAAATTGCGTCAAGTGTTTATTTAATTTCCAGATCAATTTGATAGCTGGATGGTGTATTGTGCACAAATGCTTTTCAACAGATGCCTTGTGTTTATATCTTAAAGAGAAAAATAGGTTTATTTGATGGAATATTTATATAAGGTATGCCGAATGCTGTGTTTTGTATTTGCGAAATTACGCATTGAGATACATTGTGACAGACTTGGGGATCTGTGGAAGATGGAAGATGCAATTTTGGTGCTCAAGTTTGAAAAGAAAAGGATAAACGTTATGTGTTGTTGAAATACTATATCTGGTTAAGAGTTGGTTGGAAATGCAAACTGATTTTTCCGAAGCGGATAGATGTGCTTTGTGGTTGAGGAAATCGAAATAGAAGAAGTGTTGCACATAATAAACATATGGTGGTAATAATAATCAAGACTTAGACTGGCTTATAAATAGTGGATAGCCCCTCGTACTTTTAATAGAAACACTAGGATAGGCATAAATGGGATGGAAATGAGGTTAACGGGGTTACTTTTAATCACTAGACTTTCTTTCACTTGATGAATTAGTGAAACAACTATTCAAAATGGAGGAAACTCATCTTCCATTCAAAAATTGTTTCGAGCATCTAATGAATAAGTTGCATCCGCTGCTTTTGAAGGAAGCATGTATGGAATATGGCTAATTAGCTGCAATCCCATTTTTTTAATTACTAATTTCTGTGCCCAGATAAAAAACCGTTTTTCTTACTTAAAATAAGAATTTACTCAGACACGATGGATGCAATAATATAAGAGCTTTAAATTGTCCTCGTAAGGTTTTGCCTATGACATTGTACTAAAACTTATCTTCTTTGAGTTGCAACTTGATTCAACATCGATATAATATTTTCTTGGATTTTACAGTGCCTTACCTCACATTGTATGTTTACAGCATCATTGCCGATGTTGTGGCCGAACATTATGTGCTGAACATTCATCCGATCAGATGGTATGCACTCTACAAAACAAATAAATTTAAGTATGACTGAACACGAGAAACACTCTTAATATCAATCACTTTTTGCAGGCCTTGCCACAGTTCAATATTTACTCAAATGTGCGAGTTTGTGCTGATTGTTTCAATAATGGCTCTAGGTAAGTTTCATTGTACATGGTTATGGATCTTCAAGCCAATGTACTGACTTTTTAACTAGTAGATTATATTTCATTTGTATTCGTTTTCCTGTATTAGTTTTACTTGGGGCCTGTACTATATTTTGTTAGAACTGTCACAGATATGCACTAAGCAGTCCATTTCCTTCATTGGTCATGTTTTGTTTTGACATGATATTCTGTCTTTGTCTTGTCTTCGTAACTGAAAAACATGCTCCCAAAAGTCCAGTCACACGAAACAGCAACCAATAGTTCATTATTATTTATCATTGTTGATCTACGAGGCTTCGTGTGAGGTTGATAAAAAAGAAAACATAGACATAAATAAACTATTGTTCGTCCCGATTCTTCAATTTGTTGCAAAATTTTACTGTAGATTCAAGAAGGATGGTGCGCCAGCTACTTCAAATGAAGTTAATGCTGTAACGGATTCGATTTCAAGATTAGATATCGGTGCAGTTTCAGATACCAAACCTGAAGTTAGTACCGGAAAATCTCCTCTCCCTGAAGTTCCTGAATGCAAGTGCGGAATGCCTTTGTGTATTTGTGAAGCACCAGCGCCTCCAAAGAATTCTATGACATCACAGGCAAGGACTATTTAGTTTGCACCAATTTGTCCTTATTGAACTTCATAGTCTTATGGATTCTGTATTTCTGTTTCATTACAGCCATTAGCAACCACCTCAAATTCCACACTTCACTCAATTTCGAAACCGAAAAGGACAGAGCAAACTCCTAAGAGTAGAGGTTCAACGTCAAACAGTTGGCAAGGGTATGTAGATTATTACCAATTTATGAGCATCATTCAGGTTTGCACGTTATATTGTAGAATCATAGTTACTGTATGCTATTTTCGTGATTGTTAATTCATTTTCATAGTCACTGTCTTCAAGATTTGAACAAGCACGAGTGTTGTCATAAAAAACCTTAAGGGTCATTGATTTACTAAAAGATAATTTGTTGTCGGAGGTCTGAGTCTGCAAATAAATCACGATGATGGAATAGCAGTATTATTATTATATGCATCTGAAAGAATTTGAAATTATATAGCAAGAAATAAAAAAAAATAGGCATCTCCATTAAGATCCTCATTTTGCATCAAGCAATTACAATAAAAGCTTCCAAGCCTTGTAAAAGAATAGCTGGATTTCCTATGAAATAAGAATCTATTAACTTGGGTAACTGAAGTTACCATTTGCATTCATCACTATATTTTTGTCATCTGTATATATCAAAGTATATACCAAAAAGGAAATCTTGCAGTACTCAATTCAATTCTGGTCAAGTTGCAAACGGTTCCGTGGATATATCATCTGTTCATTACGAAGTTACTGGAGAGGTATGCTAAATTTGGCTTTGTTGTTTCTAGTAGAATAAGCGAATCAGGACCACATTATATTCCTTCAAATATAGATACTTTGCTAACTTTTAGCTTAATGCTTAGGGTTTAAGAGAAGCAATAAAAAATGGCGATACAGCTGCTGTTAAGAAGCTTCTGAGTCAGGTACCTTTGTTTTTTTCTCTTCTCTTTGATTCTGAATAGTAGATTGAGATTTTCTCTTCACTAATATTAAGCTGAATATTATAAAATTTGTAGGGCGTGGATGCAAATTATCGCGACAAGCAAGGCTCATCTTTGTTACATTTGGTCTCTCTCTCTCTCTCTCTCTCTCTCTCTCTCTCTCTCTCTCTCTCTCTCTCTCTCTCTCTCTCTCTCTCTCTCTCTCTCTCTCTCTCTCTCTCTCTCTCTCTCTCTCTCTCTCTCTCTCTCTCTCTCTCTCTCTCTCTCTCTCTCTCTCTCTCCCCCTCCGTCCCCCTCTCTCTCTAAAACGAAAAGTTTCATCTAATTGATCTCTAACTTTAATAACTTATGCAGGCAGCAGTTTTCAACCATACTGAGATAGCTTTTGCCCTCATTGACAATGGAGCAAGCTTAGACTGCAAAAATTCACAAGGTAAATGGTTTGAACAAGTTCTTCCATTTGAATTTTGGTGAAGTAGTGATGATTAGGAATAAGGAATACACGAAGAAGAATCTCTAGTGCAAGGATGTGATTCAATAACCCACCAACCTATGGTATCTGGTTGTCTAATTTATTTTATCCAGTCTGAAACTTGAAACGGATTTCTGTGCTGGAGCGAGAGAATTGTATCAGAGAGTGCTGATTAGGTGTGGAAACTGGAAATTGGATCGGAACTTCGGAATTCCGTCGATTCCTATCCGGATATTTACGATTTTGGAACTATTAGTCATTCCGAATTTCTTAAGTTCCAATTTTCCCGATTTTTCTTTTGGAACCGAATTGGAATACATATTAGATTTTAATTCCCGATCCGATTTTAATTTCCAAAAATATCTCCACCCTTAGTGCTGATTATCACTTGAAATTAGCTCTCAATATCATTGGATAGGCTTCTTTTGGCCACACATGGTCATTTGGCAGTAAATACTGTTTCGGGTATTTCTACAGTTGACTTTCTTTTGCTGACTAAGTCGTAATTTTCTTATTCAGGCGAAACACCTCTGGATTGTGCTCCAGCTACATTACAGTACAAGATGAAAAAGAAGATGGAAGAAGATGCACAATCGGATCGCATAAAAATGATGGAAGAAGATGCATAAAAATGAAAAACGAACTCCACGGAAATGGTGTTTAATTTCTAGAATTGGAAAATAAAACTGCAAAGTTGAGGTTTGCTGTATATTACTATGCTATCGTAACAACAAAATATATGGATAGGCACTTGTAGAAGAGTCTTCTCCACATTTAACTATTTAATTTCCTATCTTATTCTTTTCGGGTTCCAGTTACAGTTCCAGTTACATATATATTAATGGTAGGAGTTTAGCTCGTAAATTCTTTTTGCCTAGTTTCGTTGAATATTCGAGACAATTCAGGTGGACAGGGACCTAACTGTAAGCGAAACTTAAACGGGTAAGTGCAGTATCAAAAGTATAGTACTCGGACTGTCTATTATATGAAACTAGCCGAAATGGATTTACGAGCTAAAACCTCTGAATTGCACCCAGTCGTAAGTAACGGCCACATACATCTCCCCCTTGTGTTCTTGCATGTGTGTGCACGTGGTCATGTTTGTACCTTTTTGGATGGGATGAGGTAGGGCTAATGTTACCTCGTGAATTCACGTGATTGTCTCATTAACAGATTTCCTCAATGCAGAAATCATGTGGTCTTTTATATATTGGTTAATATTCAATTCAATTGCATTACAAACGAAAAACAAATATTCATCCTAAAATTAATTCACTATTGCATAACATTCGCGTATATCCTGATCTTATAGTGCATTCAATACACGAGCGTCTGTCCATAGTTTTTCCGACCGCCAAGATCTCGACAGATAAATCGTATAAAGAAAGTGTA